AGCGATCTCGCAAAATGACCCGATGATCGTTTGTGAAACTCCTTCAAACAGCTACTGAAAGAAGCGAAACAAACGAACTGTCAGAAACGACAGAAATCACCAGAAAAGGATAGAAACGATGCAAACGAAAAAATCGCCAAACGATAATGTAAACGATTCAAACGCTTAGCGCAACGCCTCGCTTGACCTTGATCTGACCTGTTGAATAATTTTGTCTGCAAAATTTTCAGTGAAATATATCTATGAAAGTAAAAACGACTGAAGAAGTTCTTGCGTCTTGCTGGATTCAAGGCAAGCGCCCTACAAAAAGCCGCACGAAGCTGTCAGCTTGCGGACGCAAAAAGAAGTTCTTGCACATGCATTATTTTTGGGCTATACGTTTTGTACTTAGGTAGCTATACTTTTCCATATATTCATTCTTTTTCTTGTGAGGATCGGATCGGATCACAACTTGCATATTTTTTTTTAAAAAAAATATTTAATTTTTAAAAAAACCTTTAAGCGGTTGCAGGCGGTAAGAAGTGTTGTTTCAGGCGGTAAATTTTACCGGTTACCGCCTGATAAGGAGAACACTGGTAATGCATCTTCCAGAAGTGTGTCACACTTAGCAACATAGTCATGTATCAAAATCCGAGGGGGGCTTTAATTAGGGAGTTCATTTAGCATTTTTTAGGCCTCCACGAGAATTTTACACAGCATTGATTCAAAACGGCGGGCAAGAAGGTCTAACATGGGTGTATTGTCAAAAAACAGTTGATTTTGAGAAGAATAGATGGTTTTCACGGTGATGTTGTCAAATTGTAAAGTCAAAATAGCAAGGTATTCAAATTCTTATTTATACTAGGTTGAATATAAAAAAAAAATAAATCTTTGTATAAGTTTCCAGTCCCATAGGATGTTTCATTGCGATAATACAGCAATTTGAATTTCCAGGTTTTCACAGTATGTGACACCAAAATAGGAATGCTGTCTCATTGAAAAAAAGTCTATCCTCTTGATTTTCAGGAGTATAACCATTTCAAGTATTAGAAGATATGTTTATGCGCATTTATGCTAGTTGTCGAGTGAAAAGAAAGAGCCTTTATAGAAAAAGGGAACTACAGATGTTTTTGTTGATTTCTGGCAGCAATATTGGTGGACCAAAAGGGTACACCAATATGGCATCTCTCTAAAAAGCTCTACAAAAGAGTGAGAAATATTTTGGCAAATAACTCAGAAACTGTGGGCCACAAAGACCTGAGATTTGGACAATGGTTTATATATTAGTCATTTACAACATTTCATTTTCTTGGCTTCTTCCACTGGACGGTTTCCAATTATTTTATTGTGCTGTTTACTGCATGACAGTGAAAACAATCTATATAACCTTTTTTTACAGTGAAAAAGCATTGATTATCTTGTGATCAATTTACCTTGACTTACGGGAACCCCCTCTTTGAGGGAATGAATGATAATTTCTTCATGAAATTTGGCAAATACACCAAGAGCATATTAATGAAGATATCTGTGTTTGACCAAAGGCCGTAGAGCTGAGTTATTAATGTCAAAAAGTGGATCAAATTACAAAATAACACATTGTGCCCCAGAAGGTAGATTATATGGAGCTGAGTTGTGGTTGGACACAGGATTTTTCTATTTTATGTCTTTATTTGTGTTGCATTCCTTTTTTAACAATAACTCCTAAGGATTCTTCTGAAATTTTTAGTTTTCTCTTCTTGTGCCACCCTAGGGGGGAATTAAATTTACACCTCTTTGGGTGACATAGTATGGTTTAGTTTAATATATTTTAGTTCCTCAAGAACCAAGGACTGCTGTCAATGTACTGATATAATGAAATTATCCATAAAACAACTATTAAAAATGATGCAAAAATGTGCAAAATCTGCTGGTGCAGATATCTTAAATTTAAGAGCATTTGAAATATTATAGATAACTGCTAATAAGGTGACATAACATGCTTTGAAATTGTACTTACTACTGATTGAGTATTATTTTTATTCCATGCTACTTTTTTTTT